GAAATTGTTTTGGCTCCAAATCCCGCACGGAAATCCAAGAATCCTGAAGAGAAAGACTACGTTTTGACAATGGCAGATGTGCATGCTGTGAAGCTAAGAGCAAGGCTTGTTTGTGCTCAGTTGCTGTCATAGTGGTCGAGGGAAGGTTAGCGCTGAAGGTGTGGTCGGTATTGCAAGGGCTTTCTTGGGTGCTGGTGCCCCGCTCTGTTCTGGTGTCACTCTGGGCAATTAATGACGAGGCCACTATGGAATTTATGACAAGTTTCTACCAACATCTACGAGATGGAAATAGCGCCAGTGTGGCTCTCAACCAAGCTATGAAATGTCTGAGAGAGTCAGAGAAGTTTAATGCAGTAAAATATTGGGCTCCATTTGTTCTTATTGGTGATGACGTCACGCTAGAACTTGGACAAAAAGAGAAAGAGCAATGTGAGTAGAATTTGCTTGTAAACGTCTACCAATGTTTACTCGATCAATGGTGATTGTAGCCTGCGAATACAGCCGACTTCCATCGCGCGCCGTATGCAGCGTCCCGCGAGAACGATGGAAGTCGGCTGTATTCGCAGGCTATGGTGATTGATGTGCAGAATGGTTTTACTTGAAAAAATGCAGTTTTACATGTAACTGAGTAACTGTTTTGCATGTAGCAACTTGAACTTATGGTATGACTTAGCTTCTATCAGATTTGTTTCTGCAGTTTTCTTTAGTCAATATTATTTCATACTATATTTTTGAAAGAAATTGCCTTTTTCATGAAATATACTGATTACACAGAATACATGTACGTAACAATTTTGTTGAGTAATTTTTGTCTATAATGATTTTCCTCTTACTTGAAGGCGTGTATTTTTTCCTTCGTTTGGATTGATATTGACTTACTCTTTGTGTGGAAGGCTTCTCGTTAGCGGTTTGTGGTTCCGCTCAAGTTTCTATTGTGACCCGCGCTTCGCCGCTTGTTTTGTCGGCCTCCGGGCGATCTTGACGCGCGCACTAGCCTCTGGTACCCAGGGTAACTACCAATAGAAAATAAATGCGGTTAAAGCCATACCGACCACCTTGCGGTGCGTTACTATTATGTTCATGTTATATTTTAATTTATAGCTATTTTCTAGTTTGTATGATAGTATTTCCTTTAAATTTGATTCGTTTCAAATATAATCATACAGTGGAAGTCAATATTATTCGCTATAATTGCCATGTTATTGAAGAAGACCACGTGACTAGGTGATGACGTAACATATCATAACAATAATATTTTCGTTACGCCTGTATTCATTTTATCTTACAGAGATCTGATGCCACGAAGACTGGTGCAGCTCTGAGAAGAGTCACATTTCAAGCAATGTTCCGTACAGAAAACTACGTCACTCAAAAACTGGTTTAAATCTTGACGTCTTCAGTTAGCAGAAGACAGAAAGAAGAGTGTGAATTTGAATCATAGCCGAGATCAGTTGCGCATGCGCTTAAAATTGTGTTTGAGTGACTGTTCTGATTCAATACAGTCAGGGATTATTGTTAGTAACGCATATTGTACTTTACATTTGAGCATATTTTATATTCCTTTCACACATTTAATTTAATTAGCCATGATCTTGGACCTAAGGTATCCACCTATAGGTCACGATTCTTTGTAATGAAGCTTCAGTGAAGTTTCAACATACTAGATATACCTAGTGAAGAGGACGCGTACAGATCAGCCGCAGTTTGTAACAATAAGAGAGCAACGAGTTAGCCCCACCCACTCCTAGGGCAGTGCAGTTTTTGTTATCCTATGTCTAGTAATCTATTGATTATTTAATTTAATTCGAATTCAATGTAACATCAATAGTTTTAATCATGTACGCGTTCTGTTTTAAGCAGTTAGTATTGTTACAATAAAGAATACCAGACCACATGCAATCTAGTGTATGAGTTGTGGTTCAAAATGGTTAAAAACATTTTTGAAAATAAAATTCTTGGGTCGCTATTAATATGACTTTTATCTGGTTGTTTGAAAATGAAACTTTGCCACTCAGCTAATAATGTGCTCGAATTCTCCACTTTTTCGACTCCTCTCTAAACGGTCTATCGAAATTGAAATTTCATTAAACTATTATATTCTACAGTATCTACTGTTTGCAAGTACTCTCCCCCTACCCCGTCAATCACTGTCGAATCGAAAATTCCTTGATCCACCCCTGTTCTAGCCTGTATTTCAGCCGTCTTCTCTGTCGAGGGAGTATACCCTTTTCCTTAAAGCATAACCTGAAATGAAAAAAATTAGGGACATTTCACTTTCCAAAATCCAAAGCCGGCCCTTCATTTGCAATCACATGCGACAATAATTGTTGGGCTTAACGACACTTCAATGTCAATTTGGGTGTCTTGATCTTAGCCTCACTGGTTGGCCACATGCAGTGTGGTTTAAGGCGTGTCTTTTGAGCCCATGTAATTATCTTCCTCAACCTTTTTATATTTTTTCTTCTCATTTCTCAAAGATATTCGATGTTTCACTTTTTTTTCAGTATCGTTAACGTGAAATAGCAGTGTCATCCTCCTGTACGTGACAAAATTGCACATTTTCTCAAGTAGGGTTTGTTTACTGCGCCTTTCAATGACATGCAAACTCTGCTCAATCAACGATTTCGTTTTTCGCTGCCATCAATCATTTAGTAATACATTCAAAAGGTCACGTCCGTGGATTGTGATTGGTAGATTTCGATCCATTTTGTTTGTTTCTTTTATTCACGGTCCGTTGTTTGTCGTCATAATTATTTTTTTTAGTTTTTAAACATACCTTCAAAAATACTACACAGCTTTTGAAAACCTTTTTGATGAGCTGTTCGCTCACGAAAGTGAACTCTTTTCCTCTTCACCACCGGAAAGACTTGACACTTCCGGTTCAAATTCCCCACCTCACCCAGGCAAGGTTCAAATTCCCCACCCCCGGAAGGCCTTGCGTCAAATTCCCTACTCCCGCGGGCTCGGAAGATAGTCAAATGCCCAGGGGGGAGGGGATGTTGAAGCTTCGAATTGATCGGCGCATTTAATACAAGAGTGGAGACGCAGAGACAACATCAACATATCCACTTGCAACTAACATTGCTTTTTTATTGAAAATAGTCAATAATTGAGGCGCTTGTTTTTTGTCAACACGAAGTTGAAAAGTGATAGAGCAGTTTGTAAAACCAAATCACAACGGCCAATCACAGCGAACGTAAAAAACAACGAACCAATGAAAAACTCGAAGCAAATGCAAGTGACCGGCGCCAAGCGCGGGAAACCGCGTGCGACCAAGTCGTGATTGGTTGAGGTTTTACATCTGATTGGTTGAGTAGGTGGCGCGAGTTTTTGAAACCAATCACACACCTGCTCTATTAGCCGTTTATGGCAAAAGCTTGAAATCTTAACATTGCATGCAGATGTAGACATACAAGAAAGTCGAGCTTCACCGCGTTATTGTAAAGTATCCATCGCAGACTCAAAAGCAAATGCAAACACAAATACGCGCGAACTAGAGCAACAAAAACGAAAATGCAAGCGCAAATTTCATTTCTTGCGTTTTCATTGCACTAGTTCACACAACAACAACGATAAACTTTATTTACACCAAAATAGATAAATACAAAAATCGATAAATTAATACAACGGTTTTAAGGCAAGTGTTACACAGAATAATGTTCAACAGAAGATAAACTAAGTAATTTTAGATGAATTCAGTATTGCTGCACTGCAAGAAGTTTGCTGAAGTTTGATTTCTATGTCGGCTGGTTTTTGTAAAATTCTTTTGTAGTATTCCAACATTGGTCATGATGATATCCGGTGGGTTTTCTGCGATTCAACTTCACAGGAAGAGTTAAATATCAAAGTTAATATTTCACATTCATTTTGAAGCACTGTAGAGGTCACGCAAGGAGGTGGTATGAATTTCACTACGCCAAGTTTGTTTATGACTATTGCCTTTCAGAATTGCCAACAATTATGCCATCTGTATAGCAAATTCACCCAAGTACTGTTTGAAGGCTTTTGACCATTTCAATCGCCGGATTTTGCTCCCGTTGCAGTCCTGTTCTGGCCGAGGCACACTAAACTGCGTTACGTAGAAGCGTCTGCTGTTCTATACTCGTCGACCTTCCTTCTGCAACAGTTGTAACAGATCCTTGCTATTTTGAAGACATAATGTGTCTTTTGAAGTTCATCGACATCAGAATCAGTGTCACCTTAAGCTGAGGCAAGTGTACTCGTACTCTCCTGCAGTAGAATCAGGCAACAGCTGATTGTAGAATTCTTTTTTGAAACTCTTCAGATTCCACTTGCTCAACAGTGAGAAGTGACAACCCAAGCTGATCCTCCTGCAAATTAGAAAAAATCTCAAACGTTCAGTCAGTTTCGTGGGAGAAATAAGGAGATAATGACATTATTGGCAACAATTGATCTTTTGAGAAATATTTTATTCAGTAAGTGACACAAGCTACTCGGAAAAGAATGCTGAGTTCTCCCAACAGGAGTCGAACTTATGACCTTCCGCACACCGGTCGGACGCTCTTACCATTGAGCTACAGGAGACTCGTGGGTGCTTAGGCCATATAAACTAGGATGTGACAAACTTCCCGCATACAGCTAGTAGTATGCGAGAAACTTGACAACAAACCATATGTCGACCCGAAACAGAAATTATTACGGTCTATTGGCAGTATGAAGATTTGGGAATTGCTCTACAAAATCTGTACAATGGAAACCTGAAAAGTTTAGTAAGAAGACATTTCAAGATTGGTATATATTTTAAGCTATAATGTTTGACTTGGTCTTGTCAGAAGTGTAATTACCTTTGTCAAACGGTTGAGCCATTTGCCTTAAGAATCTCTTACTGATCTAAGGAAGAAAAACAAAAACAATGAAATGCAAACTATACAAGCAACTATATAAAGCTTTTTTAAAGTTGTCTCGTCAACCATCTCAGTTACATGTTGATCTATCGATTAATCAGATACACAATGCAAGATACTCAATCAATGGAGGCAGCTAGCGTGGCCGAGTGGTTTAGGGCACTGGTCTTCTAATCCGGAGGCCCCCTGGTTCAAATCCTCCATCCTTGCCACTAGTATAGCTTGATTTGGTTCGCGGTATACGTAGTCTCGAGTTTCAATCTCCCCGCAACGTCATGTAAATAGCAAACCAGCAGTTGCGATTCAAACATCCCTCCCATTGTAATTTCCACCAAACACTGACAATAGTTTGAATCAGTTCCTACTGGACTGCTTCATCGATAGAGAGGTTTGCACACTCATTCTTTTAAGTATTCCTGTAAGGACAATGAACTTTTTTTAACTTTTAACGTAAGTTGAGACTATTGAACATAACTCCCTCGAAGCGGTTTTGAATTGACTGTCGAAAGTAAACTGTGGTTTACCTTGGATATGTGGCTGTTTAGCTCTTAAATTTTATTGGTTCAAAATCTCACTTATGTCCAGGATTGAACGCAGGTATTGTTTTTTAGATACTTCAATAATGACTGGGTTATTTGTCATTTTCATATTACTTTATTATTTGACAAAATTATGTGGTGTTTTGGTGAACTTTTATCAATGAGGACACTTTGTGATGCCTATCACGAGGAGCGTGCATCTTTGACGCCGGTTGCATGTTTTCCCGCGCTTGGACGCCGATTACATGTTTTCCCGCGCTTGACGCCGTTGCACGTTTTTTGCTCTAGCTCGTTGTGATTGGTTCATTACATTCTTAACATTTGTTGTGGTTGGTCAGATTTGATTTGCATACTGATTTGGGTTTTGTGACAATCATTATTAGCAGGTCTGTATCCCCACGAGAACCATAGCAAACATATACCAAATATAGTTAGAAGAATTTTGCTTTTGACCTGGTAGATGTGGGCAATAATAGCTACACCTCTATGTTTTCTCGTGGTTACCTGAATCCATTTTGGTAGTTTGCCTCTTTTGTCAGCCTTAAAAAATCTCTGCAAAACAAATAAATATGGAGAAAACGATTTGAAATCATAAAATTTATTTTCATTTTCGGGTTTCAGGTGGCAGACAAATAAGGCGAATATTTAAACAAGGTTTTAGACAGGGTTTACCAAAACCGTGGCCTAACCCGACTTTAAACTGGCCAACCTAAATGTGTTAACATCATTGACAGCAAACCCTGTTTAGAAGGTGTAAACACAGACTAAAAAAACAATTAGCTACTAAGACTGACCTGCTTATAAGTAGATTTAGACACCTTAAAATGTCACATCAAGTTAATTGCTTCACTATATGTCAATACCTTGTCAGCAAACACATGATTCCGTAATCTGTTTTTCCTCGGATGGCTCGACCAAACACACTGAAATAATATAAGTCCAAGGTTCAAGATATGTTAAATAATAATATTTAACCCTTTCACTTCCAGAGTCAAACATTGAGTCAATAAATGTGGTTGTACCTTCCGAGTCTGTGGATGAAACCCTAGTTTGTGACCATTCAAATGAAAGCTATGGAGCAGTACTTTCATGTGGTACTGTTTATTATGCTGTACAAGTGGTTCTAACTGTGGATAAAACCCTAGTGTGTGACCATTCAAATGAAAGCTATTGAGCGGTGCTTTCATGTGGTACTGTTTGTTTTTGACACATTTTGCAAAATGAAATTCAAGATTTTTTCGTCAGTTCTGAACTTAGCACACTTGGGAGTGAAAGATAACGTAATTACAAACATCTGATGTCACTTGTTTGCTTGAGTGTGTTAGTACTCAGTCATATTGTAGACAAATAGGTATAAAATACGAAGAGAGCCATACACACTGTACTTACAGCTTATTGATATTTAGTTTATAATTGGCAACATTATCCAGCATCATGAGCACGCAAAACGAGCAGAAGGATTTGTAGCCCTTTGCACGCATTGCATGCCTATGATGCTAGAATATTATACAAAACGCTTGGAATGGAAATACAAATTAAAAAGTTCTAAGCATTTGTACCTGAGCAGCATGCCTCATAGCGTCAAATGTGAGGAAATCATTTTCTCTGATGTTAAACTGATCTCTGAGATACTCAAGTCTGCCTAGAAACATAAAACACCAATAAAACAATGCACGGTAATGCTAGTGTGTTACTGTGTCCTCTTTTAATCCCATCATGTCTGTTTGTCAATGTTCAGATGTTCATGTCAGTGGCGGATCCAAAGGTGCTAAGAAGGGGGAGGGGGCAGGGGAGGGGGAGGGGAATTATGGGCATTTTTCTTGCTTCACAAAATGAGGGGGAGGAGGTGAAAGACACCTTTCTTATTTGAAGCATGAAAATTCCCATGTGATAAGAGTTTCTTCAATTTAATATTTAGGGTGTGCACCTGATGAAGCTAGGCGTTCCTTGCTTCAAGAAAGGAGGGGATGGGGGGGGGGGGGGTGGGGGGGGGAGGGAGGGGGGGGGGCGGGTGGGGGGGGGGGGGGGGGGGGGGGAGGGGGGGGGGGGGGGGGAAGGGGGGGGGGGGGGGGGGGGGGGGGGGGGGGGGGGGTGGGGGGGGGGGGGGGTGGGAGGGGGGAGAGCGAATGGGTGGTGGGGGCCCTTTTTGGTTTGGCTCAAGAAAAAGGGTATGAGGCTCTCCCCTGGATCCATCACTGTCCCTGGACCTGCGATGTTAAAAATATTTTGATCACTATTTAGGAAAGGGTTTATTAGAATAATAAGAGAATTTATCTCAGGTCTCACGAAGAACCTGGAGAAGGGGCAGGGGGAGAAGGGGCGCTCAATAATTTGACAAATGGTCCCAAAAACATTAAAATAATGATATGGACAAGTTTTTTTCATATTTACCTTTAAAATCCTACTTTGTGTATAGACGTATGGAATGCCAAACCATAATAACTGCTCTGGCCATAATGATGATCTGAGGAGAAAAAAATAAATCTGTCACTAATAAAATCTCTGTCCACTGACTGACTGTTTGACTGGCTGAGCTAATATATATGTTGTTGGTTCTAAATGGTTTTTTTGTTTTAAAATTTTTCAAACTCAGTTAATTTTTATTTTCGCATTTGTCTAGATATTCATTATCATGATCTGAAACAAGGAGGAAAATTAAAATACAAAACTGGTTTTAAAAACATTTTAAAACCAAAAATAAATTTAAACCACAGACAAAAATATTTATCGGACACATTTACTGCTGAGCTCAATAATTATGAATTACCAAAATCAATCCCCTCAGAAACTTTTCCTCTAGCTACCGAGAGTAATATGGCTCCTCTTCCATTTTCACACGCCTGCAGCAAAGAAGAAAGAAAACATTAAGCTTTAGTAAGGCATCAATATAACATTCCTCTTGTTACATTGCTACTGGGAAAAATGAATGCTTTGTGACTTGCCCTTTGGTAATTATGAGAGCTAAACTTGTTTCTGCTGAGTCCTGTGTTTCAATGAACAGCAGTTTGTTTCTCTGAATGTTGCTGATAATACCCTGAGAATGAAAAGAAAAAGGTTAAAATTTTAGTGGTATTAATAACAATAAGTTCATCTTACAATAACGAGAAAACAGATCACAGGTTAGATATTCTTCAATGATCAAGACTTTCCTGGAGGACAGCGGTGCATGTCCAACATCATGTCCAACATCATGTACGACTCGAGTGGTCAACATCATTCTCGTCCCCAGAAGCCACGATACTTTTGGTCAGCACCAAAAATCGAGACCGCAAGTCGCATTTGACGGTTAGTCCGCGATTTTGCGGTCTCGATTCTTGGTGCTGACCAAAAGGATCGTGGCCTCTGGGGACGAGAATGGGTCAACATATAAATAGTACTTAATGCTTCTCGGACTACTTTTAGACGTACTATTACATGATTTACCTGATCATGCCAAATGGACACTACTGCTTCCTGAAAAAAGGAAATAAGCAATCATTATTGTTGGACAAGGTTGGGAAAAATATTGTGATTATCAGTGGCAAGCAGTTGATTATTTTCCAATGTGGAAGTCAGAGGCAAATAACTGATTTTCAGCAATGGCAGGCACATGAGCAGAGTAATATTTGTCAACAGACAGGATTTTTTTCATGTTTTTGTAAGGTTAATGAACTGCAAGATGCAAAATCGAGTGACGCCTTCTATCCACAAAGAACAACTCTGCTTGCCCCAGGCAGCAGATCAAACAACTAGCGCACGGATTGGTTACAAATATCACACCATATTATGACGTTAGTCTCTACATTACATTACATTATTTGGAGCTTTATGAGATTTTTTATGCCTACATAACTTTTCGCGGCTCTATAATCTGCAGCCTCTTCAGCCTTCTGTCTTCAGAAGCCCTGACTCGTTGGCAATTATTAACATCAAACATTGAATTCTTACCATGTACTGATAACTGACGAAGAAGCAAACAATCCCATCAGGAACCACTGTCGACATCTCCGCAAGAAGGTTGCCATAGTTACGAATAACAGCTAAGGGACATTCAAGAGGATGCATTAAATGTTAGTGTTACATGAATGCTGCAAAAAACAAAACCAACCGTAGCCTGTGATCAGGCTCCGAGAGAAATCGCCGACTGGGGCGGTCGCTTTCGAGACCGCCCCAGTCGGTGCTCTGTGATTTCTCTCAGAGCCTGATCTCACTGTTTTTCATTGTCAATTAAATTACTAAATAAAATGTCCTCCAATAGTCTGATCATTAAAAAAAAACATTTGAATAACCTACACATATCATCTCTAGTTTCAAACTTTGTTGTAATAGCCACTTGATCATTCCCCCGGCCAACAATCTGTAAAATAAAGAATGTGAAAATGTCATATAATTATGATAAAAATAAGATTGATTGTAGACTACAAGGGATATGTTAAAAATGTCACTTACCATTGGACATAAGCAAATTCTGGCAAGCGTCATGGTGAATGTTGCCATGGTAACTGGTCTAAAGTCAAGAATCTTGGGATACATGTCGATTGGCGACAATGTCTGGGGATTTCAAAAGAGAAAATCATAAATCAGGGAAATCAACACTCAAGACTCTACATGCTCATTTGCAATATTTGTGAATAAAAATGACATCAAGCTGTGGTTAAATTTGTTTCTGTTACAAATTTTTCAAACCAGTTTGCTTTTTC